TTAAGCCTGCCCAGACTGAGGAAGTTCTGAGAATGCTCTAGATGCCTGGGGAACTTTAAGGTAAAAAAAGAATATAGATCTCTGAGGTAAGGGACTAGCTAAGCTGAGGTTTCCAAAAATCACAGTTTTAACCTAGGTGTCTACATTCTTCCTACAAATCCAATGTAAGGCATCTAGGGCCTCTTTTGAATCTGGCCCTTACTCTCTTATACCTTTTCCATAAACTTTTTATTCCAACTTTTCAAAGGCAGTTTCATACAGGTCCTAAATCTAAGGGTTCAAGCTCAAAAGCCTAAATATACAGCTCTGTTTTTTGTTGGTAATAACTTCGAATTCTGTTTCATAAGTGACAGATAACACTTTTATGATTCTGATCCAAACACTCTATGACAGCTGTCTTGAAGTCTAGAGTGATCGTTTTCAAAGTATCACAAACATAGTCAGAGATTAATGAGGAGGAAAAAAATAGGTTTTCTTCCTCCTTTTGCTGCCAAAGATTATTGCATGAAAGGAGGTTTCTTTTGGTAGGCTTGGGCAAAATGATGCAATGAAAATCATTACCAAAGACAGAATCAAAGTCAAATGTGATAATCTGCAAAATGGAAACAACTCTGTAAATAAAATAAATAAGATTCAAAGGAAAAAACAGCTTTTTCCTGACTTGGAGGTCCACGGAATTCTATTACAAGATGCATTCAATTTCAAAAACAAGAATATATTTTATAATGCTCCCTTAAAGAGGTGTATTGCTGATCTTTATATGAATGTCAACTATAATACACTTTGCCAGAGTTAATTGGTCCACATGGTTTGTATGCTATTTCTCACAAGGCTGAAAAAGACACTGAATGTTGTCTTCTTGAGATGAGTGTTTAATGTAAAGCAATTAAATTGTGCTTAATAATTCTATAGTTTATTTTCAACCTCAAGGGGGATAAAGAATCACATGCATCCCATTCTCAGTCAGACCCTATTGACATCAGAAAGGAATAATTATTTATTGATTAGGGCACAGTAAGCCATCAACACCATTGGAGCTATTCATCCAACAGCTCCATTTGCCCCCTCAGCTTCTTCCTTTCCTCAGCTACAAACAGATCATTCCTTTCCTCAGCTACAAACAGATCACTTAGCAGATCATTTCCACCTCCCGTTTAGAAATATTACTTAATTTAAATCAGTTAAAAAAATCTAGGTACCTACATTAAAATTGATAATAAAATGGAAAACTCAAAATACTTTAGTAAACAATAATTTTAACGCCAACTAGAAGAAACCATCTTAAATGACTGCACATTGCTCTCTGAAGCAAGTGATCTTGTTAACAGCATCTTACTTGTGCCTCTAAGAAGGGGATCTGGTATTTGGTACCAAAATCTCTCTCTTAACCTCTTGCCCCTTGAAAAATTATGTTATAGGAGTTATGAAAGGTATTATTGTATTATTTCTTGTTTTATTCTATTTGGGGGCATGCAGACATATTCAGAAACACCTATAAAAATAGCTGGTACCATATATAGTTCTGTAGATTGCTTCCTAGTGCATAGCCATTGAAAAGAAGATATATCAAGCAGTTTTCCAGCCTCTAAAGAAAAAGAGATAGGTTATAATCTTCTGACCAAAATATTATTAATGACCATGCAATTCTCTAAGGTGTTGTTTGGGTACTCAGAGTTCATACGGACTTTAGTGGGAGCTGAAGATACTAAACATTTCCCCAGGAGATACTCACCAGTTATGTGTATTATAAAGAGTATTAAATCCCCTTGTGGATGTTCTTACTTAGGAGTAAAGTTGTCCTGATTGTTGTAATTTAGCCCTACTTTCTGTGGGGCAAAGCTGTACTACTACTCAGCATGTCCACAGATGCATATAATGGAATGACCTTCAGAGAAGGTTAGCTGTGAAATAAGCAGAGGTAACTCTGATGAATAAGCAGTCATGGAACAAGTAGCAGCAGCACCACTAGGATCTGATAAGGACAGCACATGGCAATGTTTTCCTTCCTGAAAAGCCACACATATCCTTTGATGGTGCTGTGACATGGTGGGTACAGGATACCACTACAATAAGCCTCCCTAGCCATGGGTCTACAAGTCATCAACAGTGGAGCGGGCAGAAGAAGAAGTTAGAATCCCAATGCATGAATGACTAGTACCTCCTGAGACTGGGGGAGGCACCATTTGTAGGCGATGGTGATGGGGGGGAGGCGAGCAGCAACTACCCATATATGCCGGTGGCAGCAGTGATGGGGGGGCAGGTGGGGAGGGCCAACCGCCTGCAGAAGTTGGCCGGCACTGCTGCCAACCTTGGGGGGCACATGCCCTGCCATGCCCGCCCTATGAGTCGCCTACATCTCAATGGCTGTGTAAGTAGATGAGGGCTGTGAAGGCAAATGATGGCAGAACAAAATCCCCAGTTTTCTTGATCTCCTTGCCATTAGATCCAGGTTTCATTCTGTCAGTACTCATGTACAAGCTGACGTGCAGCAATTTCTCCACGATAAAATGAGTGATGCACAATAGGGGTGTGTGAAGTGGGCCCTCTTTGATTCAGATTTGGCTCAAATCAGGGACAGTGATTTGATTCATTGATTTGGATCACTGCCCCAGATTTGATTCAGCCAAATCCGAATCTGAAGATTCAATGCTGATTCAGAGAATCAGCAATTTGGACATAGACACAGCTTTAAATGTTTTTTATACATACTTCAAGGTACCAGAACAGCTTCTGAACACTGCAATGCTGGGGCACGTAGAGCATCCCACAGGAGTGCAGGGGGGCCCAATATGTGCTCGGTGAAGAACCCAGAAGTTGACCAAAAGTGTTTCTGGTCCATTTCCAGGTCCACCAGGGAGTGTACAGGGGGGCTCCCCTGCACCCCCCCCGGCTCAGTGATTGGGTGTGGGGGGACCCCAAACCCAGGAGGCACCAGTTGCTGAGCCAGGGGGGCACAGGTGAGCCCCCCCCATGCTCTCCCCAGTGGACCCAGAAGTGGACCAGAAGTGTTTCTGGTACACTTCTGGGTCTGCTGCCAAGTGCGCTGGGGAGCCCCTCATGCTTCTGTCGGACACTCCATGTGTCCCAGCATCGCAGCATTCATGAGCCGCCTGCTACCTAGAGGCATGTAGAAAAAACATTTAAAGTTGTGTCTATGTCCGAATCTCCAAATCTTTCTGAATATCACTGAATCAATTCAGACGGTTCTGATTTGATTCAGAGAGATTAAAGGGTCCTCTGATTCGATTTGGATTCAGAGATTCAGCCACTGAACCAGGCCAAATCTCCACCAAATCGAATCAGGGACCGAAGCTTTGCACAGCCATAATACACAGGCATCTTCCATTAAGTCATGGAAGACAATCATCCTGAACTGCGAGGGATTGCCAAAGAAGGGGAGTGCCATTTTACTTCTGGTTTAGAATATTCATAGATGGGTTTAATCCACTTTTGTGTGTTGACTTCACACCTTTAGCTGACTTGCTTTAAACTTTCCTGAAAACCTGTATATAGACAATCTTTTCTGGCCTACTTTTCATAAAGTTATCGACTGAGTATGCTCAGCATTGTTTACGACACTTTCAACACATTGTTGCCATTGTCAGTTTAACGGCTCATATTTTTTTACCACTGGATGTCTATAGTTTATTCTGCTCTCAGCTACACAATTACACCAATATAATTCATGGCTAATTCTACTGAAATAATGAATTGCACTGGTGTAGAACGTGAGGATAAAACCTATCGAGTCACTAATATTTTCAGTGAAGTTATCCGACAGTATCATACAGTTAATTTTAGGGCAGTATGAAAAAAGATTGTGTATTATGACTGTCATTGGATGGGATGTACTTTCAGTGTTCTATTTACTTTTTTGTCATATTACATCCTTATGCAAACACTATAATTAGGTGGACTTTCAACTTCAGATTAACATAATTTTATAATCAAAGATTGATCTAGGTACATTTTTATGTGAAATCCTAAATCATTATCACATAATCTGCCTGTCCACATGGTAGTGATGCAATTAAAAAGAAAAACATATTTACACATGAGTAAGGAAAAATCAAGCATGAGACAATTCTGAGATATGGTTATGCATATAGAATTCTACCTCACTCCCAATAAAAGATAAGCCTTAGTCATCCTCACGTAAATGTTTAAATAACTAGCATGATATCAGAGAGCCGAAAAAAAAAATCCAACAGAAATGAACCCAGAACAATGTCTGGAATAAGAGCAATGGGTGTATTTAAGTATAAAGACATATATTAAGTTAATTGGTGCTTTTTCAAAATAATGATTCAAATCACACAAGGATTATTAGACACCACTGTCTGGGTGGGTAGATCACCTAGAGATCTGATGTTATCCACAGTTTATGAACCATGTTAGTAAACATCTACAAAATGCATGTCCTAGTTAAAGTCACAAAATAAAGCACTATGGCATGACTTTATAATCTATGGCAGAGCAGCAGGAGAGAAATGAAAAAGTTTTGCATAATTCCCTGCAGAGCTCATTTCAGAGATGCAGGATGGAGTTTCACCTTGTCTAAATTCAGCAGGCAAGAAACTTTCATTTGATCAGCTTTCATCAGACCACCAGATGCTGCTGCAGCATTGGCAAAACAACACTATCCTAGGACATGCAATAATTGAGCTACCAGTAAAAGGTTCAAACACCTATTTAAGCTACTGCAAAAATCAACTGTCCATGAAAGAAAATCCAGGTAGGACATTAATTATTGAACAGAGTACTTATCTAAGCTGGGTTCTGTTATTCTACAATACAAAATGCAGTTAAAAGATGAAAAAGCAATAAAATATTCACAATTACAGATAAATCATGATGGCAATAACCATACTTCAAACTCCTACCACCTACTAGCCCTATCTTTTGCTCCCTGGGTAGCAATAGTACTTTTATTTAGTCTGATGATAATACATGCAGCTTGGCAAGGAACATTTATATCCTCCATACTTCAGTGAACTGACCAGCCTTCTCCAGGGAAGTGAAATTATGGCCACACATCTTCAGTTCATGCATCAATAACAATTATATTACAATGTGTTCCTTGGGGCTTTAAAATATAATAAGGGGTTGGGTTTTTAATATGGTATCCTTACATAGGACAGCAATGGCCAACCTGTGGCATGAGAGCCACAAGTGGCACAGTCAACCTCCATAAGGAGCACACAGCATACCAGGAATTTAACAGATAGCACAGCAGCAGATAGGACAGAAAACAAAGCCAAGCAAGAGATGAGACACAAGACAGGAAGCAGCAAGAAGAGCAGTAGATCAGCTGGGAGAACAGAGTAGGGAGCAGAAAGCAGAGCAGCAGATTGGGCATGGGAAGGGGATCAGAATGCCACTTGGGCTAATTTGTAGTCCCCCTGCCAAAAAGGTTGGTGCTCCCTGACATAGGAGAATCAAAACATTAAAAAAAACACAAACAGCATTACACAGGGAATGCAAGAGTGCAACATAAGCTTTGAGATTGATCAGCTCCAGAACAGGAATTTACATAACCTGTCTTTTTACAAGACTTAACATACCCACCCCAAAAAGGTAATTCATAAAATGACCTGCCTATGATTGAACTGCAAATCAGTGTTTACCCAACAGTAGGAACTATAACATTGCAACATCTAACCACCACCAGCCCCAGTGCCCAGCCCCTGACAAAATGCTGAAAACATGTACGGTGATATTCACAGAAGGTACATATAGAAATTATATTTAGATCAACATAACCAGGTCAGGACAATATAAATACCCAGTCACACAGGTGTGCAGAGAGCTTAAAATCAACCAAAAATGATGCATCCAAGCTAGTTCACTTGAGTAGATGCACTAATTTAGATTGAGAAGGGTTATCTAGATCTAAGAAAGAGTTAACCTGCTCTCACAAATGCGTGTACACATTTGCAGCACAGCCCCAAGTACCCAGCCACTCGTTCCAGCCCCTAAGCCTGACTGGATTATTTTCAACCCCACCCCAGCCCTCCTGAGGACTTGCCAGCTTCCCTCAATGCCCCCAATCCCTCCTGTGGACCCACTAGCCCCAGTGATCCTGCCTGACCCTCCCCTAACCCCAAGTTACTTATATGGGACTCCCAATACAGCTGCCAGGAGTAGCAAATGGCTGCATACAGGGCTCCAGGTAATGGCAAACTGCTACACATTGTGCTCCCAGTATAGGTCTAAGGGTTAAAGCAAGCCAACTAGACCTAGATTGGGTGCAGCAAATGGTTGTTCACACCCAAAGGAATTAAGGCAACTAAACTGAGATTTAGGCAGAATTTAAGTACTTAAGACCAAGACAATGATTTATAGAAACTCTGCCGAAGTTGCTTAATCATCTGAAATACCCTACATGCCTAAATTTTCATCATAAAACTTACTTGAGCATATAAATGTCAGCAGCTGTACACACCTATAGACACCATCATTTTGGACAAGCAGAGAATATAGAGCATTTATACCAATTTATAGGCCCACCTAAGACCATCTGGGATTCAAAACTGAGAACTCCCAATACCCATGTTCTCCAAACAGTTTTGATCTAGTTGGCAAGCTCAGTGCATATTATACTCTGACAGCTTTGAGTTCAACAATAATAAGGACTTTCATTTAAAAAAACAAGAGGCAAGAGTGTTGACTTTTATATAAAAGTCAAATATATAAAGCATTCACCTCAGCACAGACCTTAAGACCAAATTTTCCCACCACCAAAAAAGGAGCTAGAAAAGACTAGGCTGTGGCAGGCCAATAGGGGGTGCTCCATTGCTGAACCTCCCACCTCACTGTGCCCGACCAAAACCAAGCTGTGGATGCCTCCCCAGGGGAGCAAACTTCTGGCTAAACCCCTTTCTGGAGCATGCCCACAAGCCTGGGGTAACAGCTGCCACCACCCAAGCTCCAGTCTCTGCTGGACTCTGTGCTACTTGGAGTACACAGGCCCTAGAGACATAGGAGTTGCTTAGCCCCAGCAGGATATATCTGGGTGCTTCTTATAGACTGAAACATAGAAAGTAGCCTCCCTTAGTCAGCCGAGCAAAGGGAGCAAAAAGGCTTGCCCAGTGCCGCTCAAACATTTACTGCCAGACTTGCTATGATAGAGAGCTTTATTGATTGGAGAAGGAAGGCATAGGGAAGAAATATGAAACAAAAATAATTTTGAAAGAAAGTAACTTTGAGCAAAATGGTTTAAGGGAATCATTGGCCCTTTTAGTATGCATCCAGAACACTCAGATTTAAGTTACTGGTTAAAATTCAGATAAGGTACTCACAGCAACGTCCAAAGGATTCTAGAGGTACATGGCTTGATTCTGTGACCAGGTGTCCAGCCCTTCCCACTTCCCCCTCCCTCCAACATGGAGGGACCCTCTTAAATCGCCCTCCTGACCTCATCACCTAGACCCAAGGTGTTATTTGATGTCAACCAATCAATTTGAAATACATCAGCATTACCTAATGGAGTGACATTGGCTTAAGCCTACCCCCCATGTCGTGTGAGCTTGGTCACATAGGCAGCAACCAGGTTGACAGACAGGTAAAAGACAAAGAGAAAAAAGAAAAAAAAAACCCTAAGTGAGGGAGCTGAGCCACAGGCCCTAGAAGATTTTTGTCACATAGGCTGAGTTGGCTCATTGTGCAATCAGGAATGAAAAAATTCAGAGGACCCATAGGGAAAAGCAAGTAAGACCGAACCTGTCTTTGTCTTCTCTGGAAGTGCTGAGCCCCAGTTCCTGCTCCCCACATTGTCATGCTAATCATCTGCTCCTCCACATGTGTTTGAAAATTAATTGAATGAACCAGTTGCCTTACAAAAAGGAGTACTTAAACACCCAAGTCTAAGTACAGATTTTGACCCATGTGTCCCAGTCTCACATACATGCCTGGATCTAGGAATGAAATAGGACTTCAGATACACCTCTCTCTTACTATAGCTAGTTTAGGAGTCTCCCTCTCGATTTTCTGTTTGGGGAATCCTAATCCTAGGTGCCTAACACCTCACCTTACTTGGGTCTGTGAAGTCCACTTTCAGGGTTGAACACCTCACTTTTTGACATGGGAACACTCAGCATCAAAACACCCAACTCTCTCCATGCACGTCATAGCATCTTCAAAGTACCTAACCACTTCCAAATAAATTTGATCAGAGCAGCAAGGTCCCTAATGGACACAATGGAATATTCTGCTCTCCTCCCACTCCTAGAAATAAGCCTTGCTTAGGTTGAATCGTATTATCCTATGGATTTGAAGGGTGGAAAAAAGATAAAGTAGGGCTGCTTTTTATCTTTCAGGAAAACATCCAATGGTTAATAAATGTGGGTTGCAAGGAAGTACATTATTTCCAGAGTCTAGCCTCTACCATGCCTTTTCAAAATCCCCTCCTATTTTAATCAGCAGGGCTGTAGGATCAGGTACATCCACTGATCACTGGGGTAGAAGTATCACCCAAACAGAATCTGTCTCTCTGCTGTGAAACTGTTTTGAGACTTGTAGATTCATATCTATCCTGACATGAGCAGGATAACAGGCAGCCAGTGTGATGCACACAGGATTGGAGTTATGTGCTCTCAGTGTAAAATTTTGCTTTAGAAAACATGCCATCATTGATCATGCCAAAGCATGACTACAGTCAGAAAGAAACAGAATCACAGAACCATAGAAAATTAGGTTTGGAAGGGACATAAGGAGGTCATCTAGTCCAACCCCCTGCTCAAAGCAGGGCCATTCCCAACTAGATCATCCCAGCCAAAGCTTTGTCTAGTTGAGGCTTAAAAACCTCTAAGGATGGAGATTCCACCACCTCTCTGGGTAACCTGTTTCAGTGTTTTACTACTCTGATAGTGAGAAAATTTTCCTAATATCTAACCTAAACTTCCCTTGCTACAACGTGAAACAATTGCTTCTTGTTCTGTCATCTGCCACCACTGAGAACAGTCTAGCTCTATCCTCTTTGGAACCACTCTTTAGGTAGTTGAATGCTGCTATCAAATCCCCTCTCAGTCTTCTCTTCTGCAAACTAAATAAACCCAGTTCCCTCAGCCTCTCCTCGTAAGTCATGTGCCCTAGCCCCTGAACCATTTTTGTTACCCTGCACTGAACTCTCTCCAATTTATCCACATCCTTTTTCTGGTGAGAGGCCCAAAACTAAACACATTACTCCAGATGTGGCCTCACCAGTGCCGAAGAGGGGAATAACCACTTCCCTTGACCTGCTGGTGACACACCTACCATTGCAGCCCAGTATGCCGTTAGCCCTTTTTGCAACAAGGTCATACTGCTGGCTTAAATTTAGCTTATTGTCCACTGTAACCCCCAGGTTCTTTTCTGCAGAGCTGCTGCCTAGACAGCCAGTCCCCAGCCTGTGCTGGTGCATGGGATTGTTCCATCCTAAGTGCAGGACTTTGCACTTGTTCTTGTTGAACCTCATGAGATTTCTTTTGGCCCAATCCTCTATTTTATCTAGGTGTCTCTGAATCCTAGCGCTACCCTCCAGTACATCTACTACCCCCCACACTTTGGTGTCATCTGCAAACTTGCTGAGGATGCACTTTATGCCGTCTTCCAGGCCACTGATGAAGACATTGAACAAAACCAGCCTCAGGACTGACACCTGTGCATTGGGATAGTTTGTTTCTGCACTCTCAGAAAGGCTTCTTTAAAGTATAGCCAGATGTCCTGGACTCCTCTCCCTCAGACTGGCTTCCCAGGGGATCCTGCCCATGAGTTCCATGAGCAAGTTGAAGTCTGCTTTTCTGAAGTCCAGGGTCCTTACTTTGCTACTCTCCATCCTTCCTTTCTTTAGGATCCTGAAATCAATCATCACACAATCACTGCTACATAAGTTGCCTCCCCTACCAATTTTTCCCTGTTTGAGTGGAAGGTCCAGAAGAGCATAGGCCCTAGTTGGCCACTCCAGCACATGCAGCAGGAAGTTGTCCCCAATATTCTCCAAAAACTTCCTGGATTGCCTGCACACGGCTGTATTGCCCTCCCAGCAGATGCCAGGGTGACTGAAGTCCCCCATGAGAACCAGGGCTTGTGATCAGGAAACTTTCACTATCTATTTGAAGAAAGCCTCATCCATGACTTCTTCATGGTCTGGTGGTCTATAGCAGTGTTTCCCAACCTTTTCCAACCCAAGGCACACTTGCATTAATAAACATTTTCCATGGAAAACCCGTTAAGGCATTCCCCATCCTCATACCTACTGTAGCTTATTTCCATGGCAAAATTCCGCAGCACCCCGTTCATTTCTGATGGCACGCTTTTGTGCCACGGCACACTGGTTGGGAAACACTGGTCTATAGCAGACCCCCACTACAACATCACCCTTGTTGCTCTCCCCTCTAACCTTAACCTAGAGACTTTCAACAGGCCTATCTCCAGTTTCATACTGGAGCTCTGAGCAATCATATGGCTCATTTATATAAAGTGCAACTCCTCCTCCTCTTCTCCTCTGCCTGTCCTTCCTGAACAGTTTGTACCCATCCATGACAGTGCTCCAGCCATGTGAGCTATCCCACCAAGTCTCTGTTATTCCAGTTACGTCATAGTACCGTGACAGTG